AGTCTGTGGATTCATTTAGTTTCGATGATTTCCAGGAGACTTTCACTAAGTAAGAGGATCTTACTTCGAAGATTAGAGTTTTGTACTTGTTTAAAATTGTTATGGTGACCTCTCTACATTAAAATGAACTCTTCCTCCTTCATAAATACTAACCTGCGAGACTTCCTAAGGTTCTGTGGGGATATTTTTGGCCGAGCCTACATGCTCGGAGAACCCACGGTAAACTCGGCTTTGTGCCACATACATTCAGCGAGGCGGGGGCCTGTTAAATAAAAGCAATCAGGACGCAGTCACTGACTGTGTGCAACTTCTGTCGAACTCTCTGCTTTTGGCAAAGAAGAACCAGAACGAGGCTTTGCCGAAGGGCAAAGTTTCATCCGGGGAGGTAGACAGATCCCGAACCTGCTTATGCGGGTTCTAAGGGAATATTTTTAGCCGAGCCTACGGTCTCGGAGAAACCCACGTTAAACTCGGCCTTGTGCCAGATACATCCCGCGTGGGGGGACTGTTAAATCCGGCAGTCGGGACGCAGTGTAACCTGACAGTTTGGACGGACACTTCTATCTGCTGACTAATAACACTCTTATTTTGCATGTACGTTCGTTATTTCAATACACTTGTTCAACCTACCTTCTTCTTTCCGTGTCTTTCTTTCTGGCCCCTAACAGACCACAACAAAAATTAATAAATGTCTGCCCTAAAAATATGTGAATACTTCTGAAATGGACCTCGTATATTTTCTCTAGTTTTAAGCATGATAACAAGGCTTTTGTGACACGAAATCACATCGATCTTTGTCTAGCAAACTAAACAATTATTTCATGAAATGTTCTTCTCTTTAAATATCAAATTTGTGGAAGCAGATAGTCAAGACCTCTCTGATACTTTTATTAATTTAACTTAAAAATAGTGTTTGGTTAAAGACATTTTAAAAAATACATTCAGAACTCAGTGAAAGATTTAGAATTTATTTACCGCACAATAGAATAAATTCCCAATATAATTTTCATAGAGCTCTCTTTGCATCTTTGTCCGATTGGAAATTCCATAAGTATTACCATTTGTTTATATATATATATATATATATATAAATATATATATATATATATATATATATATATATATATATATATATATATATATATATATAACAATAAAGTATTTTTATATATAAAATGGTAGTGGATGCTGATGAGTCCCAAATTCTGTTGAGGTTTCTATCAGACTCCATGAATTACTTAATTATAATTATCAAATCATTGCTTGAAACGGCTTCTAATGCTCAAGTTTGAGCGGCTTGGTGATAGTGGTCGTGGATCCTGGGGGCACAGTCCTATGGTTAGAGAGAATCTCAGTTTAGTTCCACTACGGAATATGTGAGCGAGTGAGGCTATATTGAGTCTGGTTTGCCATTTCTCAGTCGCCGGGGTCCGGTGGAACAGTTGGTATGATGTTTGCTTGATAACTGTCTGGGTTTCAATTCTCGGTAGCGGATGCGCACTGCTGCTGAGTCCTAAATATAGGACGAAACGGCCGTTCAGTGCTTTCTGCATTCTGTTGAGGTTTCTATCAGACTCGATGAAGTACTTAAATATAATTTTCTCAAATCCTTCTAATAATTTCTATCACGTATTTTTTTTATTTATATATATATATATATCACTTTAAACATTATTTTTATCCATATCTGAGTAGATGCTCTGTTTATTTTTTAAACAGTATATTCATTTTGTTGTCTACCAGACCCTGTGTGCGTGTGTGTGCGTGAATGTACGCACATGCAAGTATATACATATTAATATGAAGATTTGATTGTCTGTAACCTGAAAAATTATTAGTTGAATTTATGGGCAGGACACCTCATTTTACAATGCATGATTTCATTGATTAATGCAGAAGCAGTAGGTTAAGTGCATTAACAGGGAAGAAGATTATGTTGAAAATAAGTATTTGTTGCATAAAAGAAATGCTTTTTCCTTATGCGACATCAATGTACTTATTGATGTAACTATATATGTTGAAGTGATTGATGTATAAAGTTTATTTTCAAGATCTTGGTATTGACTTTTTTCACCTTTTTTTCTGTTTCGTTTATCACATTTGTCAACCCTTTCTTTGTGTAGGACGAAAGCACAGTATGACATCAAATTCTGTGGGTCAAAAGTGCATCTTATAAAAGCGAAAAATACGGTAACCATTGACCAAATTTTCTTCTTAAGTTATAATATAGTCCTGGGTACGACGAGGAACTGCATCCGACAGCAAGGCCTCTAATCGGGAGATTGGAGTTTTTGAGAAGCATGGAAGCACCTCTAAATTGTTGTTGTTCACAGATCCATCCTGACCTGGAATGGTAGTACCTGATAGGGTTTCAGTTATGGGCAAATAGTGAACCTCGAAGCCAAAACAATATGCTATGAAAGTGTATTTTGGTGGTAAAAATACTAGCAATGCATTTTTGTATAAGGAAATTACCGGCAATACATATTTATAGTAAAATCACCAAAAATACATATTTAAAGTAAAATAACCAGCAATACCTTTTATAGTAGAATTATCAATAATGCCTTTTATAGCAAAATGACCAAAGACACATTTTCTCTGTAATTGATGCCATACAATTGCGTTCAAAATATATTAAGTTGAAACCATAAAATTGTGTTCAAAATATTTAGATTTCTGCAGAAAATAACATATAGACTAACCAACAATACCTATTTCTAGTAAAATTACCAACAATACCTGTTACCAACAATAGATATTTAAATCAAAATTACCAACAATACATTTTATCTGCAGTCAAAGGCGTAAAATCGAATTCAAAATATGCAGGTTTCGGCAGTGGCGACTCGGGAGGTCGGGCATGTTGGGCTGATCCCAAGTGAGTCAGTATTCAAGTATCTCTATTTTAAAGCAACAACAATCTTTCGTAGTGCGTCGTTTTCATTCTTGACTTCAGATAGAGCCAAAATTAATTGTTTTAATTCCGTGCCTCAAATATTGACCGAAATACATTTTTCTGGTATTGTTCATAATAAAAAGAAAGAAAGAAGAAAGAAAAAAAAAAAGTGAATAAGTGAAAAAAGAATGAAATAAAATTAACGTGAAAAGTCGAGCTGCGTAGCTCTGAGCCCTACCAAAGCAGGCGACATAATTAATAGACAATGTATTTTATTACGTTAATTTTATAAATAATCTTTTAAAAATCTCTAATGGCTTGTATACCCTGTTTTTCAAAGAACACATATTTATTTCAACTTATTGTTTTCAAATATCCACTTTAAATAATTTATCCGTACAGTATATTTGTTTAGCGGAATGAATCAATTGAAAAAGGTCAGAGGTTAAATTTGGCGAAAATCTGAGAAAATGGCAGCCTTAACTCGAGGGATGAGGTGAAGAGTGTGACTGAAATAGTGTTGAGGAAATATGATATCAGTACGGATCACAAAGTACAATAAATTAAATCAAAATTTCACAGATACATAAATACACTAACACATAGAGATATATACAAACACACACTCGAGATAGATACACACGTTATTACAAAAAGAAACATATCTGTCTAGTGCATTCCATTAACTTTAACGCTAAGTACTCCAATGTGTTTCTTTTTTAATTTCATGCACAGAGATTTCTAAAAATTATATATTTTGTGTTAGAGTAAAGAAATCATTTTAGCATCTAAGTTATAGCAATAGTAGATTTTGTTAAAGACTGTAATGAGCCCGAAGAACATTGATGGCCTCGTGTTGCCACTGGATTTTGGCATTAAATTATACATGTTGCGATGCAGTTAAACAAAATCAACCAACATGAAATAACTCTTTCATGACATCACTCCATATAATACCCTAAAATTTCTTAAGGAAATCAAATTATTCCTAAATATAAATTCAACAAAATTACAACATAAAACACACCTCTCACCGCCTCTAGTTATTATGTCCACACAAACATGTATATGCACAAAAGCTGAGTATCATTTACCATGTATTCAATTGTGAAAGCAGAATAACATATATCATAATTTTATTACTCTCAAGAAAATTACATTTCGACATTAAATGACCCATAAGAAGTTGATATGTCGTTAAATAATCAAAATCATTAAGTTAATAAACACACTGGTAAAAATTCTTAGTAAAGGAACATTCACTGAGAATAGATGATGTTCAGTATCCTTACTCTACAACAGACGCTAATCTTATTAAATGTAGTCTGACACAAGGTTTTAATTACGGAGTATTGAATAAGAATCACAGTACTAAAACCTACCCTTTTTCTGTAACCTTGTCCTATGTAACGCGTAGGACAAGAATTATTGAGCCCCCAGTGCAGACTAAATTCCCTCTATGCACTGTGCTCCATATAACATCAGGACGACCTTCAAAATTGGTTCAACGCGTCGGAGATATCTCTTCTGAGTAAGATCTCCCATAAAGGAGAACACGGTTAAGGACTGTGTGTACGCCATCCCATGCAGCTGTTTCAAGAAATGTAAAAGAGAAAAGGCCGCCCCCTTGATAAGACTGCACGAACATCACAAATTAGTAACATGAGGAGACATAGAAAAATCAGCCGTTGCTGACCATATTTGGAGGGAAAAGATCACCAATACCTGTTGGATGAGATTGAAATAATATACAGAGAACATCAGTGGAAAATACGAAAACTTAAGGAATCAGCACATATGCTATACGAAAAAAAAAGCGAGAAAATTTCCTTGCACTCTTACAGCAAAGGAGAAAGCCACATGTGAGTTTGGAATTATATTCTTCAGAGGAATACGATTTAATACGCGGTTGAATAAGACCGATCATAGATTGAAAATGTATATTAAACTACTTAAATGAAACTTTCCTCAGGGACAGCTGACGTTGATTTTTTTTTTATTTTATTTTTTTTTTCATACAAATAATGAGAATTTATAACCCAAAGCGGTCTGGAGGCAAGAGAAGGGGTGTTGGGGGCGAAACGTTGAACCCGCTGAGCAAATGACTATAGGAAACCCGGAGAGAGAAAGAAAATGGCGGGTAGGAAAGGTGTAATAATTGGTAGCAGAAAGGAAGGCAGAAAGCTCCGAAGAAGTTTTGATGACACATTATCTTCAATGGACATCAATCAGCGTGGGATATTTAGCTATTATTGTCAATGGAGATCAACAATAGATTTTTCACGGCGTTCAATCATAGATTTGAACTGTTCAAACACGCTTAAGTAACAATTATTCTCAATCTATCTATCTATCTATCTATCTATCTATCTATCTATCTATCTATAATGGTGCTGTTTTTATCTAGCTAGGTAGATAGACATATTAGTCCTTTCATATCTATCTATCTATCTATCTATCTATCTATCTATCTATCTGTGTTTCTATCTATCTATCTATCTAGCTAGCTAGCTAGCTAGCTAGCTATGTGTCTAGCTATCTATCTGTCTATGGTATTGTTTTCATATCTATTTTTAGATCTTTAGATATCTATCTTAGTCCTTTCATATAGATATGAAAACAGCACCATATATATATATATATATATATATATATATATATATATATATATATAATGGTGTTGTTTTTTTATCTAGATAGGTAGATAGATATATTAGTCCTTTCATATCTATCTATCTATCTATCTATCTATCTATCTGTCTGTCTATGGTATTGTTTTTCATATCTATTTTAGATCTTTAGATATCTATCTTAGTCCTTTCATATAGATATGAAAACAGCATGATATATATATATATATATATATATATATATATATATATATATATATATATATATATATATATATATATAAGCAGCACTATATATAGATATATATATATATATATATATATATATATATGTATGTATGGTGCTGTTTTCATATCTAGCTAGCTAGATAGATATCTTAGTACTTTCATATATATATCTATCTATCTAGCCAGCTAGATATTCATCTATATACCCATTTAATTCAGTCTTTACTTATCTAGATATAATCTCTCCATATCTATGACAGAATCAGAATTTGGCTTTCTCTTTCTTTCCAACACACTTCTCCTCTCTCTTTCCCACTTCATCTCCTTCTCTCATCATGTATATATATATATATATATATATATATATATATATATATATAATTTGTTTAGATAGAAATTTACAAATGCAATCCTTTGTTATGTTAGCAGCGAAACTTTTTTGATAAGTAAAATTCGATCTTGTATCTGTGGAGCCGTTGGCAGTTCGTGAAGTATTTCTCTAAAATTCCGAGGAAGACAAGCGTTTTTAACTGCCAATTCATCGATGATAAAGATGGAGAAAAACGTTAAGAAAAACACTCTTTGCATTCCTGAAGATGTCAGGCAAATCTGCCCAAAGCTCCCAATTCTGCAGAGTTTTCGAGTGGTTCTTCACGTCTTGTCTTACAACTTCCTTGAGGGTTGCAAGAGAAATGGCAGCGTAATAGAATTGCGATCAGAAATAACATACAAGTAACAAAATTGAAAACGACTGAAACAAGAAAGTTCAGGTTGATCGGAAAGTAATGTCGTATTTTTGTAGACAGAATAAAGACAAAAATAAAATAAGGGAATTCTTCAATGGGAATATTTGTTTTATTACTTCATGAAAGAATTTGGGATACTTTCAAGAAAAATCTACATCAAGATCTTATCCAAGAGAGGATGCCATTGGTAAATCTATCTATCTATCTATCTATATATATATATATATATATATATATATATATATATATATATATATATATATATCTCGAAATATAGTTTTAAGGTGTGCTATATTTATGGGATAAAGTGCTGAATATAAGAGACAGAGCGTAATAGATATGTATATATATATATATATATATATATATATATATATATATATATATATATATATATATATGTGTGTGTGTGTGTGTGTGTGTGTGTGTGTGTACATATATATATAAAGAAATATACTCTTAAGGTGTGCTATATTTATGGGATAAAGTGCTCAAAATCAGAAACTCAGTGTGCAAATATAATTCAGCTCTTCAACGATTGCGTCTAGTACGTTAAAACAGCCTGTCGCCTCTGAGTGTTGACTTGTATTCAAATAAAAAATGTCCAATTCGTCCATTTCTTAACATATGACGTCATTTGTGTTCACTTATATATATATATATATATATATATATATATATATATATATATTAAGAGTCTGTTCGTATCTATATACCTATCTCAATCTATTTATAAATATCTATCTATCGATATATATATATATATATATATATAATACACCAATCTCTGCATATTTATCTTGCAAGCTATATATATATATATATATATATATATTTTGAAAATATTTTTGTAGGTACAAAATTTGATAACAGAAATAAAAGTGTGAAGCTGAATATTATTAGACATATTAAAAACGAAGCAACCGGTTTCACTCCCGCTCTTCAGGCTTCCACGGGAGATTCAACTTAAATTAAAAACACTAGAAAATGTGCAATGTGAAGGAAAAGAGGAAGAAATAAATATGAGATCAAGGAGCTAGAGACAAATAACGAGCCCCAACAAACATTCATGCTGTTTACACAGGGGGAAGGCTGGTGGGACTTGATATAAAGTTCCTCCAGCACCTTGAGGTGAAATAACGAGTGCAACAGGGACAGAACAATGAACCAGTCACAACTAAAGTTAGCCGCACACCCTCTTTATTTAAGAGGTGCTCACATATGGTGGAAGCATAGATATTTGGGACACGTCCACTCAAAGACAAGGTGTGATTCCTGATCTCAGTGGGAATATGTTGTTTAATTCTCATGTCAAGGCGTTGCGTCGTTCTCCCTATGTAGTCAGCTCCGCAACTATAATTGTATTTGTAAACAATAGAATTAATTTGATGGGAAAGGAGAACATCCTTACACCCAGAACGAAACATAAGTCGGGTTTGAAAAACTATGCCAACCTCAGCCGAGAAGAAACAACGACGAACATTAGATGAAATTTGCCTAATTATGATTTCACACTTGGATCCAATCCAGGGCAATCTAAGATAAACAGAGCAATTTTTAACAGTACAGAGTTAGACCTTTCTGAACTCCTCAATCTTGCTCCGGATGACCGAATTAACAGTATCAGGGGGATACCTTAAGCCACATAGAGTTTCCTTAACAAAATCATTCAGGAAAGGCTCTGAATAAATCATTAATGCCCTATGAACTAGGGTTCTAATTATGTGTATCTTACGTTTTCCAGGACAAAAGGAATCCCAACGCCTATATAACACCCCAAATGTTGGTTTCCTGTAAACCAAGGTGATAAAAATTGTCGGTGTCCGATTACTAAGACATCCAAGAAGGCAAGTTGAAAATTGGATTCCTTCTCGACCTTAAACCTCAGCGCTGGATAGATACTATTCAGAAAAGAGAGAAACTGATCAGCCTCAACTACATTATTGAATAAACAAAAAGTATCGTCAACATATCGACAATACAGTTGAGGACGAAGTACATTTCTACGTGTTCTCTCTTCGTGAAAGCCAATAAAAATATTGGCAAGTGCCGGACCCAAAGGGGAACCCATAGCAGCCCCCTCAAACTGTCAAAAAATGGTATTATTAAAACTGAATTCGACAGACGACGTGGCAAATTTCATCAACTCCAGGAATACTAGGTGGAGAAAAAGAACTGCGATAAAGCAAATGGCAGCAAATATTAATTTTTTCCAAAAGTGGGACACAAGTGAATACGGAACAGAAACCAAAGGAACGCGTGAACTTGCCCGAAGAAGACAAATTTCGGATACGGTCAACAAAGGAAAAAGAATCCTTTATGTAAAATCCACTTCCCTATCTCGTATTACAATAGGTATAACCTTAGAACCTCCTAATATTTTTACATAAAAAATAATTGTAGAAAATGAAAAACAGTAAGAATTGATACCAATAAAAAAGTATTTTTTTTATCTGGTTGTCATTGGATGTCATGTGGTGTTCGAGACATAAGAGACAGTCATACTGAGTAAATGGCATACAGGCTTTCTTGTATGTTTTCATATATATATATATATATATTAGCGGCCATAATATAAGGAATGGAAAAACCAAAGACATAAATATGTGTATTACTTAAAAAGTGATGCATGATTAGCAAAGAAATTTTTGAAAGATTAGGGTGTAATGCATAAATATTATACAAAGTTACAAAAATTTACATAATAGTTTTTGTTTTTTTTTAAATAAAAATTTAATGGAACAAAGGAAATAAGCTACTGAGGAAAAGTTAAGGAACGACGTAAATAATTTGCATAAACTTTTAATTTACATTGTTAAAAAACTCGATGGAGCTTTTCAACAATAAGTAAAAGTTCATTTATCATTAGGAATTTATTTTCAAACAAGAAAACCGTTAACTTATTATATTATGTAATGTTTATTATGTTTATTATGTTTAAACTACTCTTTATTTTGTTTATTAGGTTTATTATGTTTATTCTATTTTGATTAAATATTCTAATGCAACATTTTCCGTTTTCTCTTAAACTACTTTCCAGATATTAAAGAAATTACAATGGTTCCTTCGTCAGTCCTTTCTTCGCGCTTCCCTGTCTTACCTTGTATAAAGTTTCCTTCAGTTTTTATTTATTTCTTCTCTGTCTGCTAATCAAAAGTGTATCATTAGATTATTTTTGTCCTTCTGGATGACGATGACATTCCTACAGAGCAAAGACTTCTGATCGGTAAATTGAAGGTTTTGAGGAACGAGGAAAACTTCTTAACTGCTGTTGTTCTCAGGTCCACATAAATCCGGGGTGAAAGCATCTTTTAGGATTCCACCCGTGGGAAAATAGGGTGACCAGTAAAACAAAAACAAAACACAACGAAAGCATAAAAATACAAAATTATAACAAAATTATCAACAATACATATTTATAGCAGATTGACCAACAATATATTTTAAATAAGAATGATCACCAATAGATTTATCTGCAATTGAGAGGGTGTAATAACGGTTAAAATATATAGGTTTCGGCATTAAATAACCCATAGAGGTTGATATGTCGCTAAACAAAATTAACCAAACCAAACCAAACCACTTAAAATATTTAGATTTTGGCATTAAATAACCCATAGAGGTTGATATGACGCTAAACAAATCAATCCAACCAAAGCAATCAAAATATTTAGATTACGGCATCAAATAACCCATAGAGGTTGATATGCCGCTAAATAAAATCAACCAAACCAAATCAATCAAAATATTTAGATTTCAGCATTAAATAACCCATAGAGGTTGATATGCCGCTAAACAAAATCAACCAAACCAAATCAATCAAAATATTTAGATTTCGGCATTAAATATCCCATAGAGGTTGATATGCTGCTAAACAAAATCAACCAAACCAAACCAATCAAAATATTTAGATTTCAGCATTAAAAAAACCCATAGAAGTTGATATGCCGCTAAATCAAATCAATCAAAATATTTAGATTTCGGCATGAAATAACCCATAGTTGTTGATATACCGCTTAACAAAATCAACCACCCAAACCAATCAAAATATTTAGATTTCGGCATTAAATAACCCATAGAGTTTGATATGCCGCTAAACAAAATCAACCAAACCAAACCAATTAAAATATTTAGATTACGGCATTAATTGACCCATAGAGGCTGATATGCCGCTAAACAAATCAACCAAACCAAACCAATGAAAATATTTAGATTTCGGCATTAATAACCCATAGAGGTTGATATGCCGCTAAACAAAATCAATCAAACTATGCCAATTAATATATTCAGATCTCGTTTCAAAATGAGTAAATGCAAGATATACGTAAACATTTGTGGAATGTCCGGGTGTGTGTGTATTCCTTTGTGGGATGTCAGTGGCACATGCACACATCCTGCTGAAGAACACATATACTGGGGTTGTACATTTATATCAAATATCTGCTTATTTAGCGCCAAATCTTTGAACAATAACGTTTAAAAAATAATCATTCTATCATCTTCACTAAGCAGCAAACAAACCTAGTAAATGCTCGTATTATTACCGTGACGCGAATGATGATCATAGAACAAGCAATAGCAAACCAGACACACTGCACTCTCGAATAGGCGAAGAGAATAACGCCCGACCCTGTACGATTGGTGTCAATAACGTTATTGATAAGGCATTTAATTTCCTCTCATTTCCCGCCAGATGGCGATGACTTTCCGCCATTTTATTGGGAATGTTTTGCTTGGTACCAACCTCCAGAAAGTGACTTCCTCCAGTCTGATCAGTCATCTTCCTCGAGTAATTAGCAAAAGAGATAGTCCTTCATGTTCATGAAATTAAAACAGGTTCTTCTTCTTCTTCTTCTTCTTCTTCTTCTTCTTCTCCAATTTGCAATCAGCCAGAATTTCTTCCTTTTGCAAAGTTGTACTTTCTGGTTCTTTGTTTTTGATGATGTTCTTTTCAAAACCATTTTTCTTTTACAAATTTTCAGTCAACTAATCTTTCTTCTATTTGTTTCATTTCATCATCTTCTCTAACTCCTGACTTAATCACAAGTTGTTTTTGACGCTGTTGTTTTTATTGTTGCCCTTCTTCTTCTTCTTCTTCTTCTTCTTCTTCTTCTTCTTCTTCTTCTTCTTCTTCCTTATTCGTTCTGTGTCAAAAGCCGACCCTCAGGCTTCATTTAATTAATATCAGCTCCATGGTTACACAGTGAGGACATACAAAAACGTGGATATACAATTCAATTGTAAGATTGAAGATAAAAAAAAAACAACATTTATTTCACACAATATGTATTTTCCAACATAATCTCATTCTTTGTCAAGACACTTAATCCAACTTACATTTCTCTATAGATTATATGGAACGAACATTATACAGTGAGAATTTCAAATCAATTATCCAGCTGGAAGCTGCAATTAAACTCGAAATTCACCATCATCATCACCGACATCACCATCATCAACAACAACATCATCATCATCATTAAAAACGTCCCCATCATCTTCAACATGGTGTCGCGTGATCGAGTGTGGTTATAAAATTGCCGTGTAGCTGAGCACCTTTACATATCTGTGTAGAAAGCCGGAGATGTATTCATTCATGTGTGATATGTCTTTGGCAAGTAAACCTGTCGGAAAACCATCCCTCTCTAGCTCAACCCGCCACCGTTGTCTTGCTGTAACATTGTGTCTGTAATACAAGAGAGGAATCTCCTGAAGGTGTTGGAAATGTGCCGTATTTATACAATGCGATGTTCTTGACGGTTACAACTCCTGAAAAATCATTAAAAAAAAAGAAGACTGTGATGGTGCCTATTTAGTGAATAGACGAATAAGCGATTACCGAGGAGAAGGCAAAAAAAGAAATTTCTCCCTCCAACAATTTGCTGTCAGAATTTTCGCCGAGTAGAAACACATCGGTCTACAACTGCTAGTACTCAAAAGTCTCTCTCACTCTTCTCTCTCTTCGTCACTGACAAGTAGTCGATAAAATTTCCCAACTGGTGACAATAAAAGTTACAAATGCAAAACTATATGCGTTGCGCTATTTAATACTACAAATAGAAGCTTCTTCCTGATAAAAGACGGCAGGCAGATTTGATTTTCAGTTAGAGACAGGCAGTGCGACGTGAAAAACAGTCACGTAGATGAACTATTAAGGAAAGAGAACAATAAAAGAACAAGAATTAAGAAGACAGAACATAACGATTGACATTGCATTTAAAATTTCCTCCCAAGCAAGACATTAAAACCACTAAGACACAAAGGGGTTACTGAGTGTTAGAGAATATGAGAAAAACTAGTATTAAGGAGAGAGAACAATAAAAGAACAAGAATTAAGAAGATAGAAGATAACGATTGACATTGAATTTAAATTGCCACCCAAGCAAGGCATTAAAGCCACTAAGATGCAAAGGGGTTACTGAGGGTTAGAGAATATGAGAAAAATTACTATTAAGGAGAGTGAACGATAAAAGAACACGAATTAAGAAGACAGAAGATAACGATTGACATTGCATTTAAAATTTTGAAGATCAAAGTAGACCGGGAAGCAAGGAGCTGAATGAGTGTTCCACATGCGAGAAGTGCGATAGAAGAAGCCGTTAGCATAGAACTTACGGTTGCATGTAGCCATTTCAACTGTAAAATGATGAAACCTTGCGACCGAATCTAGTACTACACTTAAATTCGTTAATTACCTATCTATATATCTCCCTACCTGTTTCTATCTCAGTTTATTCTTTATCTATCTATCTATCTATCTATCTATCTATCTATCTATCTATCTATCTATCTATCTATTCATTAAGTCTATATCCGATGACGGAAAGTTCATTAGAGCTATTATTAATTATAGAAAAGACACAGCGAGGCTACGTTACGGAAGTAGTATAGGGACTGAAGCCGAGATGACAAGTCAGGACCTATAACATTGCAGATTATTGTTTGGGTTTTTATAAAGAATCTCTAAAAATGCAGCAGGAGCACCAGACCAGATGTGGCAGCGATATTGAAAGCAAGGACGAATCGTAGACTTATAAATACGTAGGATAGATTATGGCAATTAAAATTGTCTAACACGGCATAATAGACCAACTTTCTTAGCTGCAGACTAAGCAATTGATTCAATAAACTCTTTCCACTTCATATCAGCTGAAAACGTTAATCTGAAAAGACGAAATGAGCCACTCTCCAAGAAGTTAGCATCAGCCATGCTGATGAAAGTAAAAAAAAAAATTAAAAATGCTACAAAAATGCCATTGTTAGAGTGACGACGTTAACGTAATCTCATAGAGAGGAAAATAGATTTGTTCATTTGCTGCTTGACCTAAAGTTACATTGAACGACTTAGCATTGCACCCCGGACCATTTTTAGATCATAGTGCCTAATATATTAGAAGTATAATGTCGTCAAAGCAATCTCGACTACATTTTGCATGTGATATTATCGGTCAAAATCCGTTAAGCCCCTTGTTTTCAACGCTGCTTAAGGCCGGCTGTACCGATTATCGTGCTGTATTATTAACTGTGTTATCCGCATCGAGTTAATCCTCTTCTTAAAACGACGATCAGCGAAGCGATAATTCAGAGAATAGCGGTGGGCTTGAAATTCGTAAATAATTTTACATATCGAGACACATAGTCGGCGATGAGATGAAATAGTCCCTTTGAGCAAATGTGGTTTGTGTAATAAATTCTCCAAATCCTGGAAAGCGAGGATAATCTACAAGAAGTTTAAAACCAAAAACTGAGCTTATCCGAGAAAAAAAAATGCCCACAAGAGCGCGTAAACTTTCATTCATCTATCTATCTATCTATCTATCTATCTATCTATCTATCTATCTATCTATCTCAGTCTGTTCATATCTATCTATCTATCTATCTATCTATCTATCTATATATCTATCTCAGTCTTTTCATATCTATCTATCTATCTCAGTCTGTTCATATCTATCTATCTATCTATCTATCTATCTATCTATCTATCTATCTATCTATCTCAGTCTTTTCATATCTATCTATCTCAGTCTGTTCATATCTATCTATCTATCTATCTATCTATCTCAGTCTGTTCATATCTATCTATGTATCTATCTATCTATCTATCTATGGGTGGCGGGGGCAAAATAGTTTAGAATTTACCCTTATTTTTTATTTAATTATTTTTCTTTTGGAGTTGTCATCAAAATGTCAAACTGGTTTTGAATCAAAGTTGTTTTTCTCCCAGACTGATTACCTATTTAGGCTGCGCCGATATGCAACCCATCAGTTTGCTTGAATAAATCCAACCTGATATTCCATGAACTGTTAGGAAATATACAGTTAGAAAAAAAAATATTGCGATTGAAGAGAAGATGGGAGGCAACAAAAACATGATTCTACAGAAAGATGCTGGGAATACCATGGATGAAGTGCGTTGAAGAAAAAGTCTTAAGGAAAATGGAAACAAAAAGAACACTTAGAAGCAGAAAGAGGCTGATGAACTGGTGAGGAAGGAGTGCTTAAGGAATTTGACACTCACAAGATAGCAAAGGCAAAGTAGAAAATCACTCATTAATTTAATAGTTATGAAATAGAATGTTATAATATTTACGGTGTCATAAGAAATTGGAGCGCGGTGGAGTAATGGATAGCGGCTCGGATTGTAGAATCGGAGAGCCGAGTTCGAATTCCGGTCGAATCCATTTACATTCACTTACGTGCTAATACCCTTGGGAATGGTATGAATCCTCTTCTTCTCCACCCTCCAAGCTACGGGTAAATGGCAAGACTATATCCTTGGATGGTCTATCGCAGAAGAATTATGAGTCCGCCAATAAAGTCCGAATCAAAGTCGAATGGTACAAAACTGTGTCTGGAATTGGCAACTTACTGCCTCGTCAGTCATGTATCGAAAGACAAGATCGGCTAAGCGTGTAACACGCGTGACACATAATCATTTGAGTAAAAAATATGGTTGTACTATTTCAATAATCTAACATGTGATTTCTTAAGAAAATATAGTTTTTAAAAAAGAAAATTCAAGATGAGAGTTACATATTTTATTAATCATTTCAACCCAAGTAAGGAAATGAAGCCACTAAGGCAAGAGATTACTAAGTGTTAGAGAATATGAGAAAAATCATTATTAAGGAGAGAGAACAATAAAAGAACAAGAATTAAGAAGACAGAAAATAACGATTGACATTGCATTTAAATGTTTCCCCAAGCAAGGCATTAAAGCCACTAAGACGCAAAGGGGTTACTGAGTGTTAGAGAATATGAGAAAAACTACTATTAACGAAAGAGAACAATAAACGAACAAGAATTAAGAAGACAGGAGATAACGATTGACATTGCATTTAAATTTCCTCCCAAGCAAGGCACTAAAGCCACTGAGACGCAAATGAGTTACTAAAGGTTTGAGAATATGAGAAAAACTACTATTCAGGATACAGAATAATAAAAGAACAAGAATTAAGAAGACAGAAGATAACGATTGACATTACATTCAAATTTTCCCTCGAGCAAGACAATATAGCTACTAAGACGCAGAGGGATTACTAAAGGTTTGAGAATATGGGAAAACGACTATAAAGGAAAAAGAACATTAAATGAACCAGAATTAAGAAGACAGAAGATAACGATTGACATTGTATTTAATCATCTAATGGTGACTGGTAAGCAAGAATCCAGAAGAGAGTTCCACAAAATTGTTAGCATCTAGCCATTTTAACTGTAAATTGATGAGAACTTGCCGCCAATCTAGTACTGCACTTAAATTCATAAAGTTTATATACCATAACGAAGAGGACATATGAACAATTATCCTTAAATTATTTGTAGAAAAAGCCCAGAGAAGCTACGATATGGCGGTGGGCAAGTGACTGAAGCAGAAATGCCAGGTCAGGACTAGTAACATTGCAAATTATTCTTTGGATTTTATAAGGAATCTCTAAATATATAGCAGGAGCACCAGATCAGGTGTTCATGTAAGCATGAAAGTGTGCTAGTATCGATAATAGTGAGTCAATGGACTACTAATTAATTTACAAAATGATTCATTAATTAAGATTTCGTAAATTCCCACGCCATACAATCAATTATATCGATCTATCGTTCAGTGGTGAGTGAATCAGTGAAATATCTGATCGATTGGAAAACAATTCAAATTGATATTTCGTATAAAGCAAACTCTATTAAATGCCAAACTAATCTAATCGACTGAATAAATTCGTTGTGTATCCTAAAGTGTGAAATTGATAGATATGTTTTACTTCAGAAAAGTAATAAATTATTTTGATCGTGTCAAAATATCTAATGTATGAAATCATCTGTCTATATCTCTGAGATGAGGTATTATGATTACTTGCATTATTTACATTATTCGGACTGTTATCGTCATCTTCATTGCCATATTCACAACGTTTCGGCCTCTATATCTCTGAGATGAGGTATTATGATTCCTTGCATTATTTACATTATTCGGACTGTAATCCTCATCTTCATTGCCATATTCACAACGTTTTGGCCTCTATATCTCTGAGATGAGGTATTATGATTCCTTGCATTAGTTACATTATTCGGACTGTAATCCTCATCTTCATTGCCATATTCACAACGTTTTGGCCTCTATATCTCTGAGATGAGGTATTATGATTCCTTGCATTATTTACATTATTCAGACTGTTATCCTCATCTTCATTGCCATATTTACAACGTTTCTGCCTTTGTACGCTCAAGGACACATGGACCAGTGGCGAAGGTTAGATCCAGTGACTAGACTAGAGTTCTATACCAGCCTACAGCAGTTGTGAACCAAAAAACTTGGAGAGTTGTGTTAAAGGGAAATATCCGGAAGAGGCATGGCAAGTGGATCTAGAACAATCTACTCCGGTGGACAAAATAAAAGGTTCGGTTCGAAATTCTACTCACTTGAGAAAGACCGGAGCGTACAACGGCTGAAACGTTGTGAATATGGCAATGAACATTTGATACATGGCATAGCAAGTTCTTCATGTGTGTGAATGTCATCCAAAGATTGCTTCTGTTCTAAGTTTTGTACAGTTTAATCTCCAAATAATGATATAACCCAGATTGGCAGAATTTTACTTGAAACTTGACTACTTTATTGACCGTGTGTTATACATTTGATACATTGCATAGCAAGCTCTTCATGTGTGTGAATGCCATCCAATAACCTGAAGAAGGTCAGGGCATACAACGGCCGAGACGTTGTGAATATGGCAAAGAAGGTGAGGATAACAGCCTGAATAAGGAAAATAATGCAAGTAATCATAATACCTCATCTCATGAATATAGAGGCAGAAACGTTGTGAATATGACAATGAAGATGAGGATAACAGTTCAAATATTAAAAATACCTCATCTAAGAGATCCAATCACCTGAAGAACGCCGGAGCGTACAATGGCCGAAGCGTTGCGAATATGGCAATGGAGGTGAGGATATAAGTCCGAATAATGTAAATAATGCAAATAATCATAATACCTCATCTCAGGGATATAGAGGCAGAAATGTTGTGAATATGGCAATGAAGATGAGGATAACAGTCTGAGTAATGTAAATAATGCAAGTAATCATAATACCTCATCGCAGAGATACAAACACCTGAAGAAGGCCGGAACGTACAACGGCCGAAACGTTGTGAAGATGAGGATAATAGCCTGAATAATATAAATAAACCAAGGAAGAGACTTTGTTTTCATCAACACAATTTTCTTTGTGGTGGCGTTCTGACGTGGCATACACTGCATAATCCAGAGATTGAACTCTCGACATCCATACAGCAAGGATGAGGCATTTTTAGC